GTACTTAGGGTCTAGGCCCCTAGGAAGGTACCTCGAAAGTTCATAACACCCTCCCCTCTCTCTCCCCTATATATATATATATATATATATATATATATGTGTGTGTGTGTGTGTGTGTATCACCCCTTAGGTGTTATCGTACCTCATCCATGATTTGATGGAATGACAAAAATTTTAAGGATTTAGTTGAAGTGATATTTTTTCTTTATTCACATAAAAAGTTGGGAATTTATTTATTTTTTAATAGCGCAATAGTCCAAACATGTTAATTGAATTTGTTACTCATCTGTCTGTCAAATAAATAAACAAAAAGAAGACAATAGCAAAAGGACTTATTGGTGTAACTTGGCTTCAAAATCATTTATAGCAACTAATGAATACTTTCACAATAATATAAAATATTTCACCAAAATTCTAAAAAGAAGGGCTATTTTTGTAAACTACACAAGTCTTCAACCATCTTATAGGTGAAAAATGGATCGTGTAGTCAGATAGAGTTGTTTTATTTTGATATCGTTTACTCTTCTACTATTTTTTGTGTCAAATTAAACATTTTTTTTTTGGAAATTTAACTTTTTAAGTATGAATTTTAATATATTTTTATTATATTTATAGTGAATAAATTACCAAAATATTCATTTAAGTCTTTATAGGCTTGATGGTTTTTTTATAAATTTAATAAAAGAAGGTTAAATTGGTAAAATTTTAACTTTTCAAATGAGACATTTATTTTAGAACAACTAAAAATAAAAACATATTTTTTTTGAGAAAATGAATAGAAAACGTTCCTTCAACTATAATAATGGGTATTTTTAGATGCTCGCTTAAGGATTAGAAAATGATACTTTGGGAACAAATTCTCGACGTTATAGTTATTTTATTCTTAATGTCCCAATTAAGTGTATATTAGGGTGAATTTAACATAACAAGTTTTACGTGTTGCGTTCAATTCTTCAAGCGAGTATGTCTGTGTTTGATTTTCTCTTCTTGTAATTTGTCAAAATAAAAATAAAAATAATTAATAATTAAATATAAAAAAAAGCCTCACAATGTCACCCTTCATTGAAAAAATATATATTTATTTTTTATCGCCCATCATTTTTTCCAGACTAATTTTGCCATTATTTAATCAAGAACAATCAAACTGAATGGACATATTCCAAAAAAAATTGTACGTTAGCAATATCAACCCCACATGCAAGTTTTAATAATTGATCCACTTGAGTCTCGAGCAACACGAATGAACCAGAATAAATGAGAGGATAAGATTTGATGAGGAGTCTCTTGGAGGAACTCCTATCCTCCTCGCTAGGGAAGAATTCATAAAATTGTATTCTTTTTATGCTATTTTAATTGTTGCCATTGAAAATCGTGACCACATCACTCACAAACATGTGAGTTATGATTTTTGAAGGCAACAATTAAAGAGGAACAGATGTAATATAAGAAAGCGTGGCTTTGAACAATACGAATATATAATAAAATATTGTAATGGTAAAAGTCTAGATATCAAATCGATGCTTTGATTTTAAAATTATAAACTAAATTTTCTTTAAGTTTAAATTCAAAATAGCGATTTGATACTCTTAAACGCAAGTAATTTTATAAATAAAAATATTTGAATGGGAGTAGTTGCCATTGGTAACAGGTCCGACCTGTTCTACACTAAAGCATGCTACACTGCAAAGGGTAGAGGACATCTCACAAGAGCCCCCAAGAGGCGTGAGGATGTGACTCATCATGTATACTGAACCGTCTAATGCACATCAAGAAATTTAAATTTCTATTCAAGTTTAGTCATACAAGTATTAATGTAAATTTGTTGCCTATATATATCATATTAATGTAAATTTGTTGCCTATATATATCTATATATATAGATATATATATACACACATATATATGTAGAAGTGGATTGATTTACACTTAAAGTTCCTAACCCCAATTTTCCTTCAATTTTCACCACGACCAAGTCTAGATGAAAACTGCTTGCTATATATTGACTCAAGTAATCAACCCTTCAAATCATTATGAGGTATTATTAATTGACCATATCTAATGATTTTCATGCTGAAAAATACTAGTCTTATGGCCTTTCGAGTGTCTTCTATATAATTGATGGTGATATGCTTATTAACAGATATACATTCTATCCACAAAGAAAAATGGTTGATTACATTGGATTGGATTTGTGTGGTGTACAATATATATATGTTATATGCCTTCACCACATGCACCTATATATGCATTCAATGGATGTTAATATAGGGAAGATGGTAAGATGCAACCCAAATAAATACATGTGCATGCCATATTTTTATATTTAGATACATTGTACTATTGCTGGCATTTAAATTTTGATGGTCAACATGGCTATTGTACAGTTGGCATTAACAGTGAGAGAATTAAAAGAAATGATCGAGAGTTGCTGCAACACTCTTTTTGAAGTCTCAGGGTTTATCAAAAACTGAACTAATTTTCGAGAGTTTGGAAGGACGTCTCCCCATTCAGCGGGACTTGTTAAATTTTAAAGTCTAACTAATAAACCGCTTAACCATATCTAAAGTGAAAAAAAATATATATATATATATATATATTTATTTATTTATTTATTTATTGTCACTGCGGTTACATTAATAGTGGTAAGTAATTGTTAGAATTGTTTTTAAGCCGAAAAAGATATATATATATATATATATATTTGGTAAACACATGTTTTGGTGATAAACAAGTGAAATCGAACTTTTAACAAACATATTTTCAAAATTATAAAAGTAAAAATAAAGTTACAAAACATGTTTGCAAACATATTCTCTCTCTACTGAAGGTTTTTTCAAAGCCATCAAACACCGAGTTGTGAAATTCTCTCATTCGTAGGAAACCTCTCTGGAAATTGCAAGAAGCTAAAGTAGCTTTGCTTTTATTTGGGCCCACCATTTTCAATAAAATTGTCCACCAACCTCCATGAATCTATCCATCTATATATATATATATATATACACACACACACACAGTCACACACAGGCACACATGACATACCTCACATGCTTGCTTACATTTGCATTGGTAAAGTGTCTCTCTCTATAGAAACAGTTAAAAGTGCTTTCGCAATATGTTTTCTTTTATTCACCCACCTTTCTTATTTCTTTGGTAAAATCCATTGCCGACCACCATCATCAATGAAAGGGGGCCCCACATTATTATTATTATTTTATCACTTTTTATAGTATTTTATTGATATTAAAAATTTCTCAACCTCAAGAAATTATTAAATAGTCCTAAGTTAATCATGTGTTAACATAAAATAAGTAATTAGGTTAACTTAATTTGTGTAAGCTATATCTCAACTAATTTTATTAATGCGTCAGTACTTGATTGGTTGGGATCAATAATACCAAAATCATGTACTCTCACTGTCTAAAAAAAAAAATATCCTTACAAGTCACGATTCTCCAAATAAAACATTTAATTTAGGACGAAAAAAATTAAAACTTCACATCAACCTCTCCTTATTTGGTAGAAGTCTTTTAACTTTATCCTTCTATTTTCTTCCTCTATTTAGTATGTTTTTTATTTTATTTTTTTTACCTTGGGACAATTTTTATCGGTTTCCTCTCATGGTTTGCAGAATTACATCAAAATTTTCTTTTTATTTAAAAAATTACACTTTGACCTTCTCTTGAATTCTCAAAACTTATACCGGTCCAAGGATAAAGAATTTGGCTGTGCCACTGGAGGCTCTGGGAAGTGGACAAAAAGCCTTCTCCCTTGTAAAATCTCACACTTCACGTACAAGATCGCTCCCAAGTGGCCCAGCGGTACAAAGGCCGACCCTTCGAAAGGACCCTTGTAAAATCTCACCCTTTACACATAATTAAGATCGCTCCCAGGTGGCCTAGCGATTCCAAGGCCGACCCTTCAAAAAAGAGATACAGGGTTTGAGCCTTAATAAAAACATGTGTGTATGTTAGCTTATTTTGCGCAAAAAATAAATAAATAAAGTACAGTATTACTTTTGTAGTACACATAAAGATAAGTTAGTGCAGTACATTTTTGTTTTTTACAGATCTCAAGTTTCAGAAAACCGTACCCACCGTTTTCTTCATCCACAAATGTACCGGTTTTAATACATGAATGAATTGTACTGGCACATTTTGGTTTTTAGCCCCCTCTTATATCATTTTGTGTGTCTAATGTAATAATTTTATACTATAAATTTAATAATTTTAATAATTTTAAATTTAGAATTCAATAACTACAATGCCATAAAAATGTGTTAAAATTTTAATTTAACGATGTTATAACATTGCTGCATAATATAATGTATTATATTAATGTTGTATCTTTAATATAAACGTGTTGTATAATTTTTTTTTAAAGTTATTATATAAATATTATATTTTGTAATGTAGTTGTGTTGCACGATATAATTATGCCGGCCAATAAATGAGAGCACAAAATTTCGTTCGTAAACGAAGCACAAAATTCATGATGACTCAATTTCGCTTCCTTGGTTGTTTAGATTGTCCACAAAAAAGTTTTTAGGAGTGTGTAGCTAACTGTTATTCAAAGTACTTTTTGTATTTAAAAAAATTGTCAAGTGAAAGTAAGATGACAAGCTTAGAGGTTTTGAATGGGAGATGAAACGAAAATAAATGGATGAATTTACAATATTCACTCGTTACAATTGATATCAGAATCAAATCAAATTCTTAATTCAACGAAGATAATATACTACTCACAAGTGGGAATGAAGAAATTCATTACTTATACCATACAAAGGAGTACAAAGAGGAAATATGAAGTTCCATTGAGGGTACTTTTGGAAAAAGGTGTACACTGATTGATGGTGTATTGGTAATTTAGTTTTGGAAGTGGAGCATATTTTGTAATTATAACATGTTTGTTGGGTTATATTGGTCTAACCCTTCGTAGTCAAGCAATTTCCCTTGAAAGTTCGTTTTTTCTCTCTCACGAATCTTGTGATTTTCTCTCTCTACGAGAGAAGAAGACTCGGTTTTTTTATTTTCATGTAATGTAAGGAAGTGATGGCATGGAAGACGTAAGCAAAAGCCAACAATGAAGCGTGACAACATCGCAAGCGTCACCTAAACGACTTCAGCTGCTAACGAACGAACGGGTAAACCCACTTCCTGCTTAACAAACCGACAGCTCTCATCTCCTCTTTATCTCTCTCTCTCTACTTTCTCTCTCTAAAATTCTCTGCAAAAAAACAGGAGACGAAACTTCCTTGTTGACACATGGGTTGCGTGGATGTGTAGTGTCCACACTTGGGTTTCAATTCATTCACTGAATTGAGTCGCTGATCTTTGAATTGATTGATGATTTTGGATCTGTGAAAAAGTTGTTGATGCTTGTGTTTTCTGTGAAATTGTTCTGATTTTGATTGGTTTCTGGGTTAAATTCAACTGGCTTTTAATGGGTTTTGTGTGCTGAGCTTGACTTTGGTGTTAATTCAAGTAAGATCTGATTGTTTTGGGAGAGAAGATGAGTTCATTGTGATCTGTTTTTGATTGTTTGAGTATGTGGTTTTATACCTTTCTTTGCTGATTAGATGGTTTTTGAGTATGTTACAAAGAGGGTTTATGGCTTTGATTCATAGTTCTGATTTATGCAATATAGGAATTGAAAGAACTTGCACTTTGGAGCTGTGTTCTGTGACAATTTACTGAAGTGGTCTTCATTTTTCACTTCATTTCATGTTTTTTATTGTGTGATTAGGCCAATTTCATATGTCCATTTAGAGTTGAGAAGCTTAATCCTCCATATGAAAATTATCTTGAGCTATCATTTTGTACATGGGTTTTTGCCATAAGCAATTGCTAGAACCAGAACTTCATCATTCATACATTACATAATAAGCTTTGTATGCTTTGATTCTATAGACAATACTCATCTTTTGTTTATTGCATACTTGAACCTTTTTTCAGTTCTAATTTGTCCTTGTGGTTTTGATTGACCTATAATCTATATTGGGGTTATGTCCTAAGGTTGACTAATGGCAAATTCTTCCGAACCCTCTTCGTCTATAAGCTTTACTTCATCTTCCCATATATCAAATGGCTCCATTACCTACAATATACCAACCTGCTCTGGTTCTGAGACAGGGTCTAGTCTCGAAATCATTAGTTTAAGCAAGCTCAGCTGTAACTTAGAAAAGCTCTTGGTTGATACTGGCTGTGATGACTACAGTGATGCGAATATTGAAGTTGAGGGAGTCTTGGTTGGTGTTCACCGGTGTATATTGGCAGCTAGGAGTAAATTTTTCCATGAGCTTTTCAAGAAAGAAAAGGGGTCCTTAGAGAAGGATGGTAAACCAAAGTATTGCATGAGTGATTTGTTGCCTTATGGTAAGGTTGGACACGAGGCCTTCCTTATCTTCTTAAGCTATTTGTATACGGGAAAGCTGAAGTCTTCACCCAACGACGTCTCAACGTGTGTGGATAATGTATGCATCCATGATTCTTGCAGACCTGCTATTAATTTCTCCGTGGAATTGATGTATGCATCATCCATTTTTCAGGTTCCAGAGCTGGTTTCACTATTTCAGGTCAGTGTGGTATTTATACTGACTAATGTTTACCCCTTCATGTTGATGTTGTGATCGTTTTTTTCTTCTTTTTTTTTCCTAGTTGGTACGTTGATGTTGTGATCTCTATGACCAAATTTGTTAAGTGAGTGATTTTGTATATGGATTTTATCTGATTGTGTCGATATTAATTCACGCATCCTTTATTTAGAATCTGGGAAGTGTTAAAGCTTGCATTGATTTGCTCAATCTATATGATTGTAATCTTTATTAATGCAAACATCCTCTATTTAGAATTTGGGAAGTGTTTTATCGTTTTTGAAGAAAGCTTGCATTAATTTGCTCAAAGAAGCAAATACTTCCAAAATCCTAACCAAGAAACTTGTTTATTTATTTTTACTGTGCTTCCTTACAGTACTTTGAATGGAGGCAATATACATGCTTATTGGACATAAACTATTCATCCATGCTAAAGTTACCCCTCCCACAGCAGTTTCCTTTTAGAAATTATAGTAAGGACTGAGGAATTAAACTGTCCAGCAATAGTTTTAAGGGCCACTGCTTGGTGCCACAGTAACACTTGGGCTGCCAAGCGTAAGTACACAGGCTTGAGTCCTAGATCAGTCACTTTTTGCAAATAATTTCATAGTTTAGGTCTGTTTCAGGTCTACCTCTCACATCACCTCGTATAGGCGGGACCGACACTGTGTCTAGGAATGTTTCTGCCTTTTGCTTTTGATGCCGACTATGTCTATGGTAAAACAGTATTTGTGTTTGATCAAGTAACTTATCTTATAAAACAAATACAAGACATATTTATCTTGAAATTTGAAGTTAATTGGATTTTATGGATAGCTTAAAACTTTAATGTCGCCTTGGGCATTCGTTGTATTCTTTTGGGTTCGCTCCCCTTTTTGAGCGCTTTTAATGATATCTTCTTACCAAAAATAAAATAAAAATTTGATGTTAATACTGTATATGATAAAAAATATGAACTGAATTTCATTTCCATCACCTGGCGACTTACTGAAAGTAAAAGTATGGAGTGAACTTAAAGCTCGGGTGTAATCCTGTATTGATTGAAGAGTATAAGCATTCATTTTCAGCACTATTTGTTTTATTCAACTATTGTCCCCCAAGTTCAGCTATGCTCATTGTAGCTTCTATGTTGCAGCGGCGTCTTTTTAACTTTGTTGACAAGGCTCTTGTGGAAGATGTCATTCCAATCCTTTTGGTTGCCTTCCATTGTCAATCAAGCCAGCTTCTCACTCAATGTGTCAATAGAGTTGCACGATCCGATCTTGATAGCATTTGCCTTGAGAAAGAGGTCCCCTATGAAGTTGCTGAGAACATTAAATTGCTCCGCCACAAGTCCCAAGCAGATGATGAAAATGAGACAGTAGCTGTGGATCCCTTACGTGAAAAGAGAATTAGGAGAATACACAAAGCGTTGGACTCGGACGATGTTGAACTCGTGAGTCTTCTCTTAACTGAATCTGATATTACTTTGGATGAAGCCAATGCTCTCCATTATGCCGTTGCCTATTGTGACCCAAAGGTTGTGTCTGAGGTGCTTGGTCTGGGTCAGGCTAATGTCAACCTTCAGAATGCTCGGGGTTATACAGTGCTCCACATTGCTGCAATGCGTAAGGAGCCTTCAATAATAGTTTCGCTTCTGACTAAAGGAGCTAGTGCATCAGATATGACATCAGATGGTCAGACTGCTGTTAGTATTTGCCGAAGATTGACAAGGCCAAAGGATTATCATGCAAAAACACAACAGGGGCAGGAAGCAAACAAAGACCGAATATGCATTGATGTTTTGGAGAGAGAGATGCGGAGGAATCCAATGGTCAGAGATGCATCAATCTCTTCCCCAACAATTGCAGATGATCTGCACATGAAGCTGCTGTACCTTGAAAATAGAGGTAATGTATGCATACAGTATTCTTGGATTCTCGTCTTCTTCCTTATTAAAGAAGTCTATTATCACGTACTCACATGTCATATTTAGTAGTCATGGTATCAGATACCATTTAGAATACTTGGGGAGGCTGCTATAGTTCTTTCTTCGGATTCTGCTCTGAAATTATGGAATTCAAAGTTGCAATATGTATGTATGTATATATGCTCTGAGAAAATTGAGAAATTATTTTCCATATCTTCAGTTATTTTTTTTAAAGATGCTTTTTTTACCAAGAGATTGTTCTTTTTTCTTTTCTTTTCTTTTCTTTTTTCTTTTCTTTTTTTCTCTCTTCTTTTCTTTTTCTTCCTGATGCTTCCAATGAATGGTCATATTATGTTATTTTCTTATTTTTAATTCCCTTCTTTCATTCATTCCCCTTTCCTTTTCCTTTATTTTTTTTTTAAATTTTTTTATTCTCTTCTTCTTCTTTTCTTCTTTTTTCTTTTTGTTAGTTTCCCTCTTCCTTTTCAAGTAGTGTAAAACCTTTGACTTCCTAAAGACACCAACTGTTAAACAACCAAGCAATTTTCTTAACCACTGAGGTCGGCTACATGAATCTTATGCTTCCATTCTGATCTATTTAAGGCCATAGCCTTAGTCAGTCATGCTATATCCTTCCTTACTAACTGTACCCACGTTAAGTTTGGTCTTCCTCTTCCCCTAGTATTACCCTCAATGTGGACTATGTCATTTTTCTTAACCGATGCACTCAAAGGTCTTCTATGCACATGCTCAAACAATCTTAACTAATTCTCTCATTTTATCTCCAGTTTCTGCTACTTCAACCATCTCCCGAATGTGATCATTTCTAATTCTATCCTTTCTTGTCTTACTGCACATCCATCTCAACATTCGCATTTCTGTCACACTCACTTTATGCATATGTTGTTTCCTAGCTGCCCAACATTTTGTGCCATCAAGTATGGCTAGTCTAATAGCTGAATAGACAATTTATTACTTATATTATTACACTCTACTAATTTGTACTTCTATTAGTAAAAAAGTTGGCTTGTAACTTCCCTAGTAGATGAGAATCCACATGTGATCCCTTTGGATGAGCCCGATCACGCTAAAAAGTACCTGAGTATTTTCTCTCCAGGTCTTTATAAGTGAGGCAATAGAACAACTGCTGAAGGTGGTGGTTCTTGAAAATGAGAGAGAGTGAGTTGATAATGTGGAATAATAACACATATTCAGGTTGATTGTGTTTTTCTTATTGCTTAGAATATTATTTTATAATAACTAATTAAATTTGTTTATACAATTATGTTTTATATTTAGTTCAGTTCCAATAACTAACTAAAATATAGGAATTTGCTGAGGAAAAGGAAAGAGAAAAATAGGTAATGGTAACTTTATATATATATATATATATATATATATATATTTATTATTGAACCATAGAGTTCCTTAAAAGTTTTTAATTATTAACGATTTCTTAGTTATTTAAGCATCGAGTGTAAAAGTTGTACGGAAAAACTTTTCACTCAAGATATGCATTCAATATTTGTTATTTATGTTCATTTTTCTCACAATACTTTTCACTCAAGATATGTTTTATGACTGAACATATTTTTGAACTGTAGATTCATGTACAGAGTGGTTGGCTTTAATGATCAATATCCATTTATTTGAAAGTCATCTTGCTATGTTAATCTGATTTGTTGGTAAATTTCTGTTTGTAATTTCTAAGCATTTCTAATTTTCTGATGTGCAATTCTTATTTTATTTTAACGATGGCCAATCATTTTGGACTGGTTGGATATTTGATCATCTGAACTGGTATGCACTAAAATATTGGCTTTAATTAAGCATATATGGTTACACTTATGAATGGAGAAATCATAGATCTAACCAAATAAATGATATTCTGGATACATGTTTTCTTTTTCATTTATGACTGCCCTTGGTCAATTTTTTACGCGTGAATAAGAAAACATGACGGTGAGTAGTATGCTACTCTGAAACACATTTTCAAGATACATATCAATGGGTTCCACTTGTGGTTTCATGATCGCATCCCACTTGACACAATCACCCTGTTTTATATGGACTTTGGACCAGTAATGAAAGAACAATGGCAGAGGTAGACTGAGCATATTATATATAATATGCAGTAGTTAAAATTCAACTGGTGATGCTATTGCAGCGTATCGAAGAGACAAGTTGGTTTTATCTGCTTATTTTGAGAATCTAAGCTATTGAATGCTTTCCCTTTTTGGGGCGTAATATATATATATGGTTAACCTTTTTGATGTTTGGCGCTTGCACGTGCAATAATTGCGTTTGTCAAGTTTTCTTGAGCAAAGATTTCGATCACACTTTCTATAATGTTCTTTATTTGATGTGATGTGTTTATATCATGAATTACTATGCTCCTATATAATTGTTGTTATGTATTTGTGTCACAGTTGCTTTTGCACGACTATTCTTCCCTACTGAAGCCAAATTAGTCATGGATATTGCACATGCTGAAAAAACATCTGGATATGCCGGTCTGTTAGCGTCGAGAGGTTCAAGTGGGAACTTGAGGGAGGTTGATTTGAATGAGACACCCATAATGCAGAACAAAAGACTCCATTCAAGGATGGAAGCCCTTTCCAGAACAGGTACTTTCACCTTTCCAATGTCCAGTTACTTGTTGTATCACTGATTGAGTTGCATGATGCTGGCATATCCATATTCCATTTGTTGAATGTAGTCGGAGCTATCAATTCTTCCTGTAAGGAGAGCTGTGGCCTGGAACCTAGGTGATAAGTTGGTGCTTCCAACCTGGTTCACTCTACATCTAGCGATCACGTATCACTCACCAAGTGATTTGAATAATAGTTAATATAAATTACCCACTAATTATCTATTTTGAATAACTTAGTACTAGTGCAAAAACAGAGATAAACAAGCAAACACACACACACACACACACACAATACACAATATTGCTTGGGTTTGACTATTAATCCGTTACTAAGGTTGTTAACTTAGACTTGCTAACTTCATCTTACTGAGTAAATTTGATAGGAACCAATTCTACTTGCAGTGCTGAAATGGTTACAGGAGAACTCTTAATAACGTATCATTTGCGTTTGGCTTAGTAAAGGATTTAGTTTTTGCAAATATCTTCTTTAACCGTTTTGGTTATTGTGGTGGCAGTGGAGTTGGGTAGACACTATTTTCCCCATTGCTCACAAGTGCTGGATAAGTTCATGGAGGATGACCTACCTGATTTGTTCTACCTTGAGACGGGCACTCTGGAGGAACAGAATTTCAAGAGGACGCGCTTCATGGAGCTTAAAGAGGATGTTCAAAAAGCATTTACCAAAGACAAGGCTGTGCTCCACCGAAATATGTCGTCCTCATCTTCGCCTAGAGATGGTGTAAGTCACAAAGTTAGGAAATTGTGAGAATATGTTAAATATTACTGAATGAGTTTGACTAGATATACACAGTTTTGATGAAAAGTTGATTGTTCGAGCCTCAGTAAACGGCAATGCTTGTTGCTTGTGTAAAATCTTTGCAAGGAGCAAACTTGCTCCATAATCTCTCCCTTGTGCAATCAGCTTCCAAAGCCTTACAATTTCCAAAATTTATGGGAAAAAGGGTGATTGACAGAAAGATTTGAGAAACTTAGATTAAATGAAGTAAGAAATTAGAGTTCTTTACCATTTGTTTTATGCAGCATTAAATAATGTACAGAAATAATTTACTAAAACGGTTTAAAAAATATCCATGACTCGCGTATTTTTCATGGCAATACATGGAGATATATATATATATATATATATATATATATATATATATATATAATGTGTATGTGTTTGTGTGTGGAATTGAAGCAAGTACCAGACAGTACTGGATAAAATTGGTTTTCGATGTTTCATGTAGGATTTTGGTGTATGGAAGAAGTGTGTGCGCTTAACTCATTACTACTCCTCAGTCATAAGACTCGTAACCAGGTGACAAGAAAAATAAAGCTATATTTCATTTGTTTTATTTATTAATTTTCTTTGGAATGGAGAATAACTACATTTATTTTTGGGATAAAGGAGGATTGTGGTAAAAGCAAGATTTGGTGCATTTTTTAAACAGAATTTACCTAGGGGTCATCCTTAGTGTTGCAAAATAGTGGTTTGTCCTCACATATGGTTGATTGTTTGCTGCACTAATCTGTGATGTTTAAATAAGGCCAGGCTCTTGATAAGAACATCAAAGCTGTAAAAGTGAACCCCTAAGGGATTCTTCAGTAATTAACGGGGACTAAAGGTACCCGGTGTCGGATTATGAAGTACTATCAGATTATGAAATACTCTAAGATGTCCAACACCACGAACGTGGAATACTCTAAGATGTCCAACACCACGAACGTGGAGAAAAGAATCGTTTGGAATGACTTTAACCTTAGAAAGAAGAATGGACAATTGGGAATAACATTTCAGCTTCTTGGAGACAGCCTTTGGCAACACCATGGGGCTGTTTTTGCTTTATTCCCCAATCCTTTTGACTTGGAAAAAGGAAAACAACCAGTGATTTAGTGGAAGCTCCAATATGAGAGATACTGTTGTTTGAAATTCCCATGATAAAGTTTTCTACAGACAAAAAGTGGTTGTGGCAAAAGCATAATAATGCTCAATATTTTCAAACAGTTGGAGATAAAAGATTCCTTTTACACTATTATGGAATTCCCACACTTTTTTTTTTTTTTTTTTGTTCAAATAGAAATGGTTCACACACAATAGTGGAATAAGAGAGTCAAGAGACCTGAACTGTCTCTTTTTGGCAGATTCTCCCTTTAAATTATCAATTTATTAGTAAAGAACAACTTGGAGTATACAAAAAGTTTACAATCACCTCCCTCTCCACCATTTGCCGTTAAAAAGAATGGTAAGGAATCACATGTGCAGCACATTTTGTATAATATATTGTAATGACAATGTTCCCTTCTGTGTCTCTTTTCAACAGCTACGCATACATCCATAAAAAGAAAAAATGAATATGTATGTATATATAAAGGGTAAAGGTGTACTTTCAAAACTGTACCTAAAACTTCCCTTTAAAAAAAAAAAAAAAAAAAAAAAAAAATCCTTGAACTAAGAAAATTTGACCTTACTATTTAATATTAACTAGAATGCTGATAATAATTTTTATAATATTAAAATAGCAAGGTCAATTTTGTAATTTAACATTAAATAATAATTTTGTAATTTAAAACAATTTCACGTCACGCGCCGCTCAAATTCTCACTGTTTTATAACTTAATTGTACTGCTTTCGCGCTTCTGCTTTATCTGACTTAAGATTCAAATATACACTTATTGCCTTCATAATTGAGTTAACAATCAGTTTTCATTCTTTGATTAATTATCTATTTGCTGTTAACCTGCATGCTAAGCAATTCAAATGGGAAATGTGTTATGAGATTATCCTGGTGCATTTGTTAACCAAGATCGATCAAAACTTCTATATTATATCACAGCGGACATTAGCTCAGATGGTATGATCTCTTCACTCAAAAGGGGTTGAGTGTTCGAGCCTTGTTAGGACCATATTGTGAGTGTGTGCACGTTTGCTCTAACTTCACCAAATTACACACACTGATCCACAAACACGCACATATAAAAGAAGCTCATCATGCACCCCTGCTCAGGGAACAAATAGGAACCCCTCCCTTAACCAGAGAGATCAGAGTCTGCCAAAAACACAGAAGAAAAAAGACCAAAGACAAATGACATCTCAACTAGGAAACTACCATAAGGTGCATGATCCAGCCCAAGCAATCAGGAGTCAGGGATGCATAGCACACATGAAGCGATTATAAAAAGAAATTACCGTGATTACCGTGGCGGGAGACCAGCAAGCACTGTCACTTGCTAAGAAAGTGCCTGATTAAATGGGTGCCTCCCTGTGATTTGCATTATGTTCAACACTCCAGGAGGTCGATACACCCTCGATCGGCAAATGTATCAACACCTTGTACTCTGCCCCCCAGACTGCCATGACCGCCAAACCAATCTGTACAACTCGAATCTACACCAATCCAGTTAAGCTCAAAACCAGTCGAGGACAAAGCTACCCACAGTCCTGAATGCCGTTCACAATGCCAAAAACTGCATTGGAAATAGTCAATCTAGCTGCTATACACTAGCACGAAACCCAGTACCCATGCATCTCGTCAAGATAAGCCCCGTCAAAGGGATACTGAGGTAAGCATTAAGCAGACCAGAAATCATCGCTAGACAACCGAGCACCAGCAACACCACAATTTCATAATTTCTTAGCATGAAGCTCAAAACTCAATAGAAAGAAACCGTTAAAAAGCCAACTGAGCTGCATTTACTATCCTGTACTCCAATCAAAACCTCAACCCATCCAGGTGAAGATCTGATTTCATGAGTCTCCATACAACTAGTCGTGTAAAGAAGGATCACATCTACATTTATATAACTTTTTAGTCTGTAAACGGTATTTTCCTTTTAGTGCAAAACAGATCTGGAGATTATTTTTGTCTTTCTACTGATAAACAACCTTATCTCATGACTAAAACTGTAGAACCAAGGTGCAAGCATTATTAGATGCAAGCCAAGACAATTTAGTACCAGGGAAGGCATATATAATGAGATATTCAAATATAGCACATGGAATAAAAGAGTTAAAATGATTCGAACGATTAAATTAACTGTTTCCCATATCAAGAAAGGGAAATTCTCATTAAATATAACTTTGTTCGTATCGAGCTTTATTGCTTGGATGTAATTAAGCTTGCACCACAACCTTATAGCCAATAGTAACTGGGAGGAAGAAAGGGGAACATAAGAAAGAACTGAAGCACATTAGAAACGGATGTCTACGCAGTCGATCTACTAAGAAGCTGACTGACAACTCCAATGACTCAACAGGATACAGTATTGGATGTCCAATTTCATTGGTTTCGTCGGAACCAAGCTTTATGGAAATGGAAGTGATCCATATGCACCTTCCAGTACAGTACATTATGGCTTGATTGAATCCTTCCCTTGACTCTATTAATAAGTCAGAAGGGTAAGTGTTAGGTAAGGCGAGAGTTGATCCAATGCCTTAATCTACAACAAGCTAACCAGCAGAAGCAGACTAGAGTCACAATACTCCAGTTAAGAATTCTGAATGACTCCACCTTGATCCCAGAGTGAATGTTAAGAGAGCAACTTCATTAAGATAACATAAAAAATGGCAACTGAATGGAAATTAATTAGTTCATTGCATTGAGAGAAGAGAACTCCCTGCAGAAAGCATGAACCAATCTACAAATTAATAAAAAGGAATTCCACAAGTCATTTAAAAGTCAGGATTTTCACACAGTAATCCATTCTATTGAGAATCAATTATGAGAAGGAAAGGGAAGAGTTGAAACAACCCATGGCATATTGAACAAGCAAAATAAATTGTCCTTACGAAGCCTTGATTGATCAATTGGATGTTTGGGAACTAAACCACATGAAATTTTTTTTGGTTCTGTTTGATGGAATATGAAGGCATGATTGCCGCAATAAGGGAGAGGATTATCAAGGGAAATAATGTCATGAAACGAGGGATCCAGTGAATGCCAGAACAATCAATCACTTTATATGCTATGAAATGAAAAAGTAAATTCATCTCGTATACTAAAACCAAAAAAGAAATGGTTGCTTTTTATGTTTGGGCATAACACCCCATGAATATGTCAAAACACAGCAACTGAACCAAAGCAAAAATTCAGCAAACAAAACAAAGGTGGGGTGATCCGCTTATCATTCAAATAAAGGACACATAGCAAAAAAATATTTATACAAATAAAGGATAGAATTTGATCTTAGCTTGAAGGTAGGGAACTTTTAAACCTTTCCCACACGGCTGGACCTTCCAAATTGATATCCACAAAATATTTAACAAATCGTGCATCTGAACATGCAAGGATTGTGCTCAGAGACAATTTGAGCTTTGCTGCACCTCTCTTCCTTTGCCATAAATACATAGAAAATCTAAGATTGATTCTCTCCATATCGTAACACAAGTATGAAGGAAATGCCGCAACAGATTCTAGTGAATAACCTATGTTTCTCAAAAAATCAATCTTCTTCTCAAGCACGTCCTTGGACTGGTTCAGCACCGGTGGAGCTTGTTTAATCATATTTGATACAACATTGCAGTCCAAACCAGCTTGTACCAAGCAATCAAACCTCTCCTGTAACTGATCCCCTCTGCCTCGGAACTGTTTCAGAGCTTTTGTCATCTCGTCTGAGTTTTCAACATAACCCAATCTCAACAAGAATGCCGTTTTATCCAGAAACTTAGTTTGATTTTGGGACACTGCCTGTTCAATGCCATTAATACTCGATGTAGAAGCCAAGCTGAGCAACTTCATAGGGTCTTCCTTAATAATTTGACATAAACTATCTCTCTTCGCCCCTAAATTTCTCTTAACCGTTTTGGGTCCTTTCAGAGTGTGTGAACCCAGAAGTTGCATGTGTGCAGATACAATTTTTGCAATATCTTCTCTTTCCATTCTTATCTCAGACAGGAAACGCACTGCCTGCCAAAGATTCTTTGTGCACTTTGCTGATAGAATTTGAGGATTTTGTAAGAATGAAGAATAAACCACATTCATCTTAATACCCAATTTGAGTAATAGGCCGACTAATACATATAACCTTTTCCCAGAACCTTCAAACAATAATGTGGGATGTATTTTAAACAAATCCCCCATCTGTGTCTCGCTATAACCCACTTCACCGAGAAAACCCATTATGTCAAGCATTCTATTCCAGTTGTATGTGCTTTTGCTGGATAAATATTCTCCAATCCAAGCACTTCCGAATCCTAAACCTTTCAACTTTTCAAGAAGCAAAACGAAGTCCTTGTTAACACCACCAACCAGAATTGAAGGGCAGCAACTTACCAGCTTAATAACTGTGGATTTATTCAGACCTAATTCTTCATAAGCCCTGAGTTTAAAAGCCAATACCCCTTTATTATATCTGAGTATCTCATTTGCTTCCTTGTACATCTTACCAATCTTAGCACGAGGAATCCCATAACCACAAAGAACATGCAAGTTATCGACCATGACATGATCATCACTCAAAAACATCAAGTCCCTAGGAAGAAGTGGTAGAAGTTCAGATGGGGTCAACCCCAAACTCTCGAAGAATGGTTCAAATTCATTAATGGGGTTGTATCGAAGGAACTTTGACAAAGCCCTCAAAACATTTTGCTGGTTATCAACCCTAGAGAGCAACCTCTGAAGAAATTGAGGCGAGTTCTTGCTAACATGATCTGCATCTGAGAAGTCGAAGCTTCTAGTACAATGCAAATAATCAAAGAGTGCCTCTTGGGCCTCGGTCCTCGCAACCCGAGTAATTCGATTTCCAGCAAGAGAAATGGGTGAACTAGTAAATTCAGTAACAGAGGCTTTAGGATTTCGGGCAGGTCCAGAACTGCAAAAGTATTGAACTTGCAATGACATCAAAGATGGACCCTGGATACTACTGGGTTTTTCAGAAACACCAGGAGAAAGAAACAAGTGGTTGAGTTGGGATATCATTTCAGAGGTAAAAGATACCCTTTTACTGATTCTGCGAATTAACATGGCAAGTTGTGAAGCCCTAGCTACAATAAGAATGTATAGAATATGTGGTTCATTGATTTCTAGGTCAAGATTGTTTCTGGGTCATTCATACATCTTTCAATACAGCTGAAATGGAAAGTATAAAATGGGGGAAAAAGAATAAAAAAAACGCAACAGAAATTCTGAAATCTGAAGGGTATCAGATTGAGTTTTCGGTTCTCATACCTTACCCTTTTGAACTTCTTCGTTTAGGATTGGAGATCCAGCCTCTTCAAGAGCATTTGCTGCGAGCGATCTTTTGTGTGCGTATATATCTGCGGTGACAGAGTTCATCAAACAGTGACTTCAGCCAGTAAAACCCTAATGAGTGCTTTTTTTCTTTCTTTCTTTCTTTTCTTTTCTTTTTCTTTTTTTTTTTTTTTTTTTTTTTTTTTTAAAGTATAAAAAAACAAGTGAGATGCACATGGAATAACATAAATATGATTATATTTATAAATCATAAAATTTAAAATTTGATCAGATGAATTTTTTTTAATTATTATATAAGTTTATAGATATATTCTATTAGCAACTTAAATTGAATAGAAATTAAACTCAAATTTGAAATTTTATTTATGTAAAATTTTAAATATTCTATTATCTAAATATAAAAAAAATCAATAAAGGTCAAAAAAAAATAATTAAAATTTGTGATACCCCATAATTTCCATGTGTAGGTTGGCTAGGCCCACACCCAAAACCACGGGAATATCAAAACAATTTAGCATTTAAATGAACACAGAATACAAGAAGAAATAAAAAGAATAAATAATTCGTTGAATAATAAGTAAAAGTTTCTATTAATAACTCTCCAATGATTACAACTCGGGAATCCCGTAACTCAAGGACCCCTTAACCAAAATCCACTATTCATAAATTCATTAATAATTACTGAAGTATAATATCCTACTTTGAAGTAACATAGTCTTCTCTCTTACTCATCTTGTTCGATTGATCTGTTTAATTCATTCTGTTTATTGATTCTCATATCGTTGTACTCTTACTCCTTCCTGTAAGTCCAGATCCAAACAATAAGACCCGAGCCAAACAGTAAGACCCAGTGAGGCCTGAGTGAGACGGCATGAGCGGATGAGCGCGAGGATAGGGATTAGATACCACTTTAAGAGAATCATGAAGATAGTATGTTTTACCCAGTCAGTCAACACCAGATAGTTCTAGATAAGTAACCATGAATAGGTTATTCAGGTCTTCCTCTTCAATGAGTTCTAGATCCAGAACTAGCCTACCTCCCCCAGTTCCAAACATAGTCAATGAAGAAGAATACCAAATTGAAGATATTAGTTTAGATTTTAGTGATTAGATTATTCCACGTATTCCAACCAGATAAATCTACTAAACTAGTTTCTTTAAATCAACTTTTCTTAGTGATTACACAGTTAAAACAGTAGAACAAATTTACTCTTTATCTCGAGAACATGAAAAGTGCCAGTTACTTACTACTAAAGCAATCAAGAGACATAAAGATCGTGGATCCAATTTCATCCACATAGGTCTGGTCCAAGTGGCCATTAATCCATTTGGTGGTGCTGGTCTCAATGCCTCAGTACTCTTAGCCCTCCGGGATGCTAGATTGCTAGATTATGATGATAGTCTCTTAGGAATAGTCGAAACTAGTCTCTATAATGGTCCAGTTCATTTTAATTGCTATCCAGATCTAACCCTCAGCTTAACTGATCCTCACATATTAAAGGCATTAACCCTTAATATTAAAACTTCTGGTTATAGAATGCTCCAGGATCACAACCTCTAGGTCTTATCTATCGGATCTATTATAAGACAAGATGAACTAATCTCAACATAAAGGTAATGAAAAAAGATACTAAAGGACATACTCTATTAATTGAGAGTAGTTCTTCTGATGCTAATATTTAACTCAAGAAAACTATTGCTTGGAAAGATATTTTTTTACCAAATAAATAGATTCTTGAGAATGAAAACCATCCAGTTAAAATACAAAATGATATCTGCAGTCTTGATAGAGTCCAGGAATATCTTGACGGAACAGTCAGAATAAGTTTTGATGAACAACGCCTTCTGACTCGCTCTCGTCCTTCCACTTCCTCTAGACAAGATATTGACAAAGACAGTGAAGCAGTCCCTCCTCTTGCAAGAAAGAATTCAAAACTTAATCCTCAGTTTAAAGACATTAAGTTAAAATGCATTCAGATTGAAGAACAAGTTAGTCATCCTTGTTATGAGCAAACTCCTCCAGCCAATAACAAGTCTCAGTCTGCACCAAATTCCCCTTCACAATCTGATTTCATTAGTAACCTTAACCCAATAGATCCTTCGTTAAATACTATTAGTAAACCTTTTAAATATAATCCCTCCAAGTTATATGATGAATATTCCTCCCCAGAAAATAAACTAAAAAGGAAAAACTTCAGACAGTCACATAATGAGAAAGAACGCAATAAAGTGCTTCATCATTGGTAAAGGTTCATGATAGATCATCGAATAAAAATCAAGTTATTTGATTATCTCGAAAATTGTCATAATCAAGTCAATGTACTGACTAAAACCAATTGGAAAAAACCTGATAAATCAGTAATTTCCTCCTCCCATCCTCCACTAGACTCCATAACCCTAGATCATATGGGAACAGAGATTCCCGTCTCTCCTTTAAAAGTCACTACCACAGTCACTGATAACGACACACGGAAAATCATTAAACAAAATAATTTTACTAATCAATATTTACATACTATTGGGACTCAACTTGATAAGATTGAACTTTCCCTCACTCAGCCTACCATTACCCCCGTTGCCTCTAACCCCCTTGAGTCACCCATTATTTCTATGCCTATACATAGAAAAGATCTCCCCAAAGGCCTTCCTGATCCTTCAGTCATTCTCCAGATCGAGACCCTTCTCAAAACCATGGAGAAAGGCAAAGCTATTAAAGAAGACAAAACAATCACTATTATTCATAATACTGATACTTCTGATAGTCCTTCTTCCACCTCTAGTTACCCCTCTGATATCCAGTAAATCGAACATGTTTTTTCTAACCTAGAAATTAATCGATTAGTCAATAAACGCGTTAATCCAACTAGTCTTACAAAAAATTGGTACCCCAGGCCGACACCTCCTCATCTTCAATATGAAGAAAGAAACATTCAAAATCAATTTTCTGTCTCTTCAGAGGAACTTTATGAATGGAATATTGATGGGTTATCCGAACAAGAAATCCTTAACAAACTCAGCTATATTTCCGTGGTAGCTAATAACTATGTTACTACACATAATCTTAGTCAACCAAAAATAGTTGATCTTCTTGCTTCAGGATTTTCAGGGATGTTAAAATCTTGGTGGGATAAACATCTACCTGAAGATTCCCGAACACAAATCAAAATTGCTATTCAAAAGGATAATGATGGTCTTCCCATTTTTGATGAAACCATAGGTCGTGCTATTCTTGATGGTGTGAATACCCTTGTTTATACCATAGTTTACCATTTTATAGGCACTCCAAGTAACATCACCTCCAGAATACATGACCAGCTTACCAATCTCTCTTGTCCGACCATGAGTGATTTTAGATGGTATAAAGAATGTATTCTTATCTAGAGTTATGATGAGAGATGATAGTAACAAACCATTCTGGAAAGAAAAATTCATTAATGGATTACCTAACCTCTTTGCTCATAAGATTAAAGATACTCTTAGTAAAGTCATAGGAAACATTGATTATGATACTCTCACTTATGACAATATCATCAGCCTAATCCAGAAGGAAGGACTAAGGATGTGTATTGATATGAAAATTAGTAACCAATTACAAAATGATAGGAAAAGAGCTAAATATGAAATGGAAACCTTTTGTGAACAATATGATCTTCCACCTATAGCTCCCTCTAGACAAAACCCCAAATCACAAAAGAAGAGTTACAAAAGTTACCGCAGACATTACAAAAACAGGAAACCAGTCTTTCCAAAAAATGAATACTATTCTGAAAAGCCTAAACCTAAAAAGAAGTTTAGTAAAAAGGTTTTTAAGAAAAAGAATACCCCCACTACCAGAGATATTAGTAAAGTTAAATGTCACAAATGTGGTCGTCTGGGTCACTTTGCAAAAGATTGCTATGCAAAAACAAAGATCAATCAGTTACAAATCCCTAGTGAGATTAAAGAATCCATTTACTAAATTCTTCAGTTAAAAGATACCAATGATAGTAGTAGTGATCCAGAAGTTGGTTTCTGTAATACCCCTAATTTAAAAATGGATATAATTGGAATTTTACTGTTTATTTTATTATTTTCATTATTTTTTTTTTATATTATTTTTGGGAGCTTACGTGGCTATGTGTTGATATGTTTATTTAATTTAATTAATTATTGATTTGCATTTATTATTTGCGATTTGAATTAGTTAGATGGATTTAATTGCTTTATGTGAATTATTTGAATTATTTAAATTGTTAATTATATTGTTCTATTTCTTTTTCCACTATGATAAGATTAGGTTTGTGTTTTAATGTTATTATCACCCTCAATTATGCAGCCGACGTTGGTATAATATAGATTGGTTTATGGGCCAAATAAATCATTTAGGGTTTAATGGAACCTAGAATTGGTGGTCTATAAATATACCAGTGATGTTCTGCCTAGGGTTGAGGGTTATATTCACGATATAGAAAAGGCAGAAGTAATTTGGGAAAAGTCTGGGAAGCAACAGAGAGGGAAGAAACAAAGAGGGTTGGCCAGAGACTTTAGGACGATGTCGGTGTAAGGCAAGTTCTAATCCTATCTCTATTCCTTAAACTTGTGTTCTTTGCATGTCTAATTCAACTTCAGGATTAAATAAGAATCAAACTTAAACTGGATTACATGTCTCTGTTATATTTCACTGAAGGTAGCCATGAGTTATACTACTTGTTTTATGGTTTTACGTATTTCAACACATAAAATAATTCACGAAACGGGATGTATGATGCATGTGAATTAATATATAAGGAATTAAATTAGCTTGTAACACTGGAAAATATTAATTTTAAACTATTTGCATGTTTAGGATCGTTTGCAACTGTATACATTTTTCATGTTTCGTATTGGCTTGTTTTACTTCGTTTTTAATTTTTCTGTCCTAATTAGGATGGATTTAAGATTAAAGGTTTTAACATATCTGGGGCATTGGAACTTAATTTTAATCAGTAGAAATCATTAGAGTTAAGGACTGATCAAACAAGACGTCACCGGAGAAGATATAGTTGACGAGATGGAGCAGAGAGGAGGGGAGAAGTTGGAGGCGGCTCCAAAAGGTTTTGGAGCCGGCTCAAAGTAACTCGGAGGTGGCTCCAAGTGGTTTTGGAGCCTGCTCCATCTAGGTTGGAGGCGGCTCCAACTTGTTTGGAGCAACCCCTTTTCAGTTCTTCAGTTTCCTGAGTTTTTGGACGACTGTTTGG